CGGGATCCCCTCAAGCATCCTGAAGCGATGCTGTTCAGAGCTTGCAACACCGTTTTCGAAGCTGTTCAATATTTCATTACAGCAGGGGGAGTTCCCTACGCGTTGAAAATCGTCATTCATGTTCCCGATCTACAAGAAAGGAGACAAGAGAAACGTCGAAAAATACCGAGGGATCACATCACTCAGTGCCTGCTCTAAAGTTTTTGAAATCATCATCAACGACGCATTATTCTCTAGCTGCAGAAATTACATTTCTTCTGACCAACACGGTTTTTATCCCAAGAGATCAGTTTCAACAAATCTAGCTCCGTTCATTTCTTTATGTCTTCGAAGTATGGAAGCTGGAGCGCAGGTGGACGTTGTATATACAGATCTCAAGGCTGCATTCGACCGAGTTGGCCACTCCATACTGCTAGCTAAACTAGAAAAACTCGGTGTATCCTCTGGTTTAACTCGTTGGTTCAAGTCTTATCTGACCAATCGGGAACTTTGTGTTAGAATCGGATCAGAGCAATCGGACTATTTTACAAACAGCTCCGGTGTTCCTCAAGGTAGCAACTTGGGACCATTGCTATTCTCGATTTTTGTGAATGAGGCCGAACTGATCCTCCCAACTGGTTGCCGATCGTTCTACGTGGATGATGTGAAGATCTATGTGATTGTTCGTAGCTTCGCCGATTGCTTGCGGCTTCAGCACCTAATCGATACTTTCGAAGAGTGGTGCTCAAGAAACTATCTCACGTTGAATGTACAAACATGTAATATTATCTCATTTCATCGCAAGCTGAAACCAGTGGCATTCAACTATACGATAAATCACCAACTTCTACAACGTGTGGACAATGTTCGTGACCTAGGAATCACGCTGGACTGCGCCTTAACATTCAAGCTTCATTACTCGTGCATCGTTGCGAAAGCTAACAGGCAACTCGGGTTCATTTTCAAGATCGCTGACGAGTTTCGCGATCCTGCCTGTCTAAAAGCTCTATACTGCTCTCTAGTGCGATCGATCTTGGAATTCAGCTCGGTAGTATGGTGCCCGTATCAAGCAGTTTGGATAGCGAGGATTGAATCTGTTCAAAGGAAATTTGTTCGGTATGCCTTTCGTCACCTTCCTTGGAATGACCCTGTGAACCTTCCGCCGTACGAAGATCGTTGTCAACTCATGGGTCTTGAAACACTAGAACATAGGCGGACGATTAGTCAGGCCGTGTTCGCAGCGAAAGTACTTATTGGTGATATCGACTCTCCAGGAATCTTGGCTGAATTCGAAATCTACGCACCCGAACGAGTTCTTCGGTCGAGGAGTTTCCTGCATCTTGGAGGGGGAGAGGTAGCTCATCGATTCTTCCGGTTCGCCTCCTAGCATCGTGCTATAAGGTACCAGGCGATAACCAGGGTAGTTGATCGATAGCTCGATGACGTGATTTCGTTGGCGTCTGCAATGGGAAATTCTCATAGCAGGCGTTGACGATGGGACGTTGTCGAGTTGTTGAATAGCAACTATCGTGGTAACTCACCGATTACCTGTCGATCTGCCAAATTTGGAAAGACGTCTGCATTGAATTGTCTCATATAATAATATTCCGCCCACTATATCACAAGAAATTGCGAGTAGCTGAGTGGAATGGAGATAAGTTAAGCATTGGGTACAGGACCAAGTCTCCCCTGGGTGGTGCCAAAAGATGAGCGCAATAGAATCATCAAGTTGCCATAAGGCACGGAATGAGACTATTGCATGGTTGGGTAGTCAAAGTCTTCCATTCGTTAGTCATTTCAGGTGGATTAGAACAGGTTTAGGTGGGCGTTGGCCAGATTTGGATTTTTCAGATGTAATCCTAGATAGGACCCTGTCATTGAACGTCGCGTGAAAGTGGAACTTAATGAAGGCCTAAGTACTCTTTCGTAGTTTTTAGTTTTCGGATTTGAAAAATCGTCGGTTACAGTGGCCTGCTTACTGAGCAGAAAAACGCTGTCCCAGGTCCTTACATATCAAAGAGATTTATGGTAAAATCGCTTGTGTATCGTGTATTTTGCGAAACTCGTTGTTGTCGTTGGTTCCGGGTTTGAATGGATACACAAATTTGAGCAACGGTATTATGTGATATGAGGGGCTCGGTGGCCTTAGAGCAACCGTTTTTGCTTACTGAGCAGAACATCATGAGTCTAATCTCAGGCCCATCTACATTCAAGATTCGTCAATCGTTTTATTTGTTAATATGACTACATGGTAATAACAGCAACTCGGTGATTAAAAAGGTACTCGTTTGCCTAGTGGCAAACGTTTTTGCTTACTGAGCAGAAGACCGTGGGTTTTGGTCCCAAACTCATCAAACTGATGTCATAGGACATCAATTCAGCTTATCGTTTACCAAAACGAACCCTGCTGCAAACCCAACCCTCTTATCCAACATCCCAGTGATTCCTCGTGGAAGTGCAGAGGTGTTCTCGGCTTCCATCAAAGCGAGTGTCATGTCAACACAATCCTTCCCATTCCTTTCTTGACCTGTGTTCGGGCGCGGCCGGCGCTGGTATTGCTTAATTTAAGATCACCAGTTTTTACACATTGAGGATGATTGCTAGTCCCAAGCATCGTCTATTGGTTCTCTGTGTAATTACAGCTGATCTGGCAGTAACAGAGTAGCAACCGTGGGCGGTCAATCAAGCTCAAGCTCGAGGAGTTTCCTGCATCTTGGACCTCGTGCTGCGAACTACAGCTTGCATGACCCAATACGTTTCATGTTTGGGCGTTTCAACGAGTTTTACGAGTTTTTCGACTTCAACTGTGCAGCGGAAACCTTTCATCACCGTATTCAACGCAGACTTCTGAGAAGGACTTCTACCTGATTCACGGACTACTCTATGCCATAGGAGGATAACTTTTTTTATGCTATAGACTTGATTAATGTTCGTTGTAATTGTATTGTATTGTATTATTGTGATTCATGTATTTCGAAAAGATATGGGGTTTTTACGCCTTTTCTAGGCTTTTCCCCATCAGGCTTCATTTAGACACGTTAAGTCCGATGAAGAAAACCAAAATAAATAAAACAAATAAATCTCATAATGTTTGGATAATATACATAATTTTAACACTACGGAAACAACATAAATTTACTCGTCATAATAACGATGACCAACTTCTCCCCACCTACCGGTACCATTTGGCAGCAGCGCATTGTTGTTGTTGTTGGCTGAATGGGCAAGAATTGTTAGGGGTTTGTTGGTCCTACTTTTCGCTCTCCGTGCGACCCACTGCATGCATGGAGGTCGGGTCATTCATGAACGGATCGATGGAAGAAGAAAAGACGTCGAAACACGATGCACCTTGATATGGAAATGTGGGACCCATTCCCTCAAAAACGGTCGTTTGCGGTGGCCGTTTCGGTGTAAGTGTGCCAATGTGTTTCTATTCAAGTGTGGAAATGGCTGTCTGGTTGGATGTTGAAACGGAATTTGTTGAGCTGCACAATGGCTTTTCCGAAATTGTGCATTCGAACAATTCACTTTTTCTAAGCACATGACCGACTACTTTTACTTATTCTGCAGAAACATATCTACCTCCCAATGAGATGTCCAGCACGTATTTTTGTTATACGTTACTCGCAGTGGCACGAGGCATTAAGTGCAAAAACATCCCATGAATGCCAATCAATCGTAATCACATACATTCAGTTCATGGTATTTTTTTGTGTGGAACTTTGCTGCTGCGGCAGAAGAGGCTCTTGTATTGGTGCCGCAAATGAAAAACTTCATTTAAGCCGCCGCAATGAAGAGAGCGTAAATTACGCATTTGAACAGGGGTGCTTTCCCTCTCGACTGATGCCGACCAGCCACCACCCGGTTGAACGTCGACAGTTTTACGATTATTGCCATTTCTCCTAATGTTGGACAAAGCTCTCAGCGCCAAAAAATGGCCCAAAACCATAAAACTGAAAATGTATTTGGTTTTGGGCCCTCTTACATTGCATCTCGGACAGGCAGGCAGTAAGTACCCCGTCAAGGTAGCAGCTTAGGCTTTGGCTTGTTAAAACGACCACGCAGAAAATGTTGCTGCTGCTGTAATCTCGGTCCTATACAAACGGTGCTACGACGCGACGGAACTATCACTCTATTTTTGACACAGTTGCTTCGCATGTAGGTGGTGCCTACTGCTGTTAGCCAAGGGATTTACGTTATTAGTCTTATTTCGTTTATGGTTCTTATTTATTTGCACGACTGTGAGCTGCCTCAGCTGTCAAATCTGAGTCTTAACACTATGACTTCTTATATCTAATCTGGTGGGAATCAACTAAATTAATGTAAATTGTAATCATTAATTCAACCACATTATTTGAAACATCTTCCGACGATTACATTACAGGTTCTTTACATGCGCTTATTCATTACAGATTTTGCATATCTTTCATGCAAAACTGTAAGTTAATCGTACATTTCCCGATCGCATGTTTATCGCATATGTTATTTCCAGTAAAATCTGCTGCTGGTGTTTTCTATATCTTAATTCACGCTTCTGCTCTCTCATGTTGAGGATCATTTCCCCGTACACCTCATTACGAATCACGTCCAAAACCTTTTAGAGAGGAAGCGTAACCGCATGTTGTGGTTGGTAGGTTAGCCCATTGTTATTGTTTCTGTTCAATGGCTTCTTCGGCAACGTGATCACCAAACCGTATCTGATGCGGCTCCTCGGTCCTCTAGTGCCCAGGCTGCGTGCAAGTCGAGAAAAAAAAACTGCAATTCGCACACACTGCTGTCCCAGTAGCACTCCTCCAAGTGCCGGATAGCGGCCGGATAATCCAACCAATTTGTGTCTATCCGTTCAGGTCTATAAACGATATGCGTTTAAACTGGCACCTACCGGGCGGCTTCCAATTAAGTGGGGCTGGGAAATTTCTCCCATCATCATCATCAGCATCACCGGAGAAATAGCATTTGATTTGTATCTTTTAAGCTCATTTGCAATAATTTCACTATTTCTCCTTTCTCCCTTGTTGCAGAACAATCGTGGTCAATCACACGATGACGTCCTCGGAGTGGTCACCCATCTGGATCACATGGTCACTCTGTTGCTGGTGGAACTACACCACTGCAACAAGCTAAACCTACCGGGAGCTCCGACCCCATCGGCACCCTGCTTGGAGCACCTGCTGAGCGAGAACCTACTGGACAAACTCTACGAATGGGGCGTCAAAACGGGAAGGTAATTTCAAAACAATAGCTTTCAGTGTGGTAACCACCGTTTGGTTAATCCCCATCCATTTTGCAGATATGCCAACGCCGTCCGGTTGGAGCAGCTCAAGCTATACGAACAGCTAGTCAGTCACAGTCGGCATCAGCTGTTGGTCCACGAGCCGTTTCTGAGGCCGCTGCTCAAGATATTGGCTTCGAGCCAGAACGAGATCTATCCGCCGGACGTGGAGAAACGGTTGGTCATACTGCTCAACCAGCTGTGTGTGGTGCTGATGCAGAACGTCCATCTGTTGGATTTGTTCTTCTTCTCGACCGCGCAGCAGAACGGCAGCGGAGGACATGCCAAGTGAGTATCGATTGTTATCTACTATATTAAACTAGGTATATGAGCAGTTCCTGGCAAAATAGAGAAAAAATAATAATTTCTGAATCGACCTTCTTCGATTTGTATGAAACTTAAAGTAACTTTTTTGTTATGGGCAATGATTCACATTTTTGCAAGAAATCGGCTTTTTTGGATCTTGTAATGTTTTCAAAATGATTTTTTCAGAAAATTGTTGCACGGGAACGATATTTCTAATTGAAAAGACGTCTGAGACAAAATTGTAGAAAAAAATTATACCTTTCTGGGAAAAAATATACAAAAATAATTATTTTACATACAAAAATACAAAAAAAAAATATAAAAAACTTACGAAAAATACAAATTTTCGGAATGGACACTCAAAAACTGACAATTGGTCAATATTTTTAATTTTTTGTTAGTAAACTTTTTTGAGTGTTTTGATTGAAATGTTTTAATGTTGAAATTTTTCCTAAATGCCACTGAAGTTGAATCATAAGGTCTCTAGATATAACTCAGCTTTCTATAGTGAGTACGGAGTCAGGAAGCTGAAGTTAACTTATAAGATCTTAGAAGTTAGGCTTTAGGTCTCTGGACTTAGCCCGTCCAACCTTTTAAGTTAATTCATATAACTTCAAATGTTGTCTCAAGTCCTTTGGATTATACTCATTAGGTATCTAGGTCTACCATGGAGTTTCTCATAATATCTCTGAAATTAATTGAAAAAAACTTTAGAAGATAGCTGTAATTGACCTATAAAATAGATCTCTGGGATTGGCCTAAGCCAAGATAAAACTACAATTAAGGTCGACCGAAATGGACCTTTAAGACATCTTTATTTAATCCGTAAAACCAGAGCTTAACCTGCAAGGTGTTCGTAATTTGATGTAAAATGTTTGAAGCTAATCCAAAACATCTCTAGAGATATCTGGAGTTGACGCTTAAGGGTGTTGAAACTAACTGAAAATGTGCATTCAGCCTGTAGTTTGTTTTCTGGAGGGAGAGCAGAAAATCTCTGAAGTTTAAGGTGGTATCTTATGTTGTTTTAAAGGGAAGTTTACCGGCCCGAAAATAAAAAAAAATATTTCTGTACGTTTTTATTTTTCTAAAAATATTGGGAAAAAATATCAAAAGTCCAAGAAAATCAGTTTCTTCCTTAGATTTCTGTCAAAAATTACGTGTAAAAATATTTTTTCTATCTCATCATGAAAAAAAATTGGACTCCAGAAAAACCGAAAAGTCGATGTTTTGTGGTTTTTTGAGTCCAACTTTATGCCATAATGACTTTTTTTTAAAAGTTTTTGCACGTGAAGTTTTTGCACGTGAATTACCTTTTTTCAATATTTTTAGATAAATCAAAAAGTAATTATTTTCGGAGCGGTGAACTTCCCCTTAAGGCTTCGCCTCTATATTTAATCTATAAATTAGAATATCATTCTACAAAAATAAAGAGCTGACCTATAAGTCTTCTCATGTGACTCGTAAGACCCATAGAATTAACCGTAACGTCTCTGAAATTCAATACCTCCGAAATAAACCTCAGACATCGCTATAGGCATGTCTTGTCCCCCCGCCTCGATGAGTCTCATCGTCGCCCACTGGTCACCCACCATAGCCGGTCGAACTCCGGACGAAGCTAGAACAGCACTACCGTTCATACTAACGACAACGCTCTGATGAGACAACGAAACCCTACCCCAAGCTCCTCCCCTGATCCTATCCTTCGAAAATGTACCCTTCTAACCCCGAGTAAGCCGCGAGTAATCGGCCCAACTCCTACTAGACATAGAATTAAGTGAATTTTGTTACACACAGTGCACAATGAATTATCGGCTCCGTAAAGCTAACGCGATTGAGCCTTCCAAATAAACGAACTAGATAAAAAAAATTGCTATAGGCATTTGAAGTTGATTCATAACTGTTAGAGTTAGATCTCTAAACTTAAATAATAATGTTGGTTGACCGCATATCTCTTGAACATATCTAACAAAGCTTATGAAGTTAACCCAAAAAAGCCCGGAATTGACCTTAAATGCAAAAGTTCTGTAGTTAATCGATAAGATCTCTCAACATAATCTAAAGCCCTTAAAAATTTAATAATCAAGCCTCTGGGCATAACCCATAAGACCCTTGGAGTTATTTAGAGTTGACTCATTGGACCTCTACATTAACATTATAAGGTCTCTGGAGTTGACTCATCCCATAAGGCCTCCAAAATGTACATTTATGATCTCTGAATTTAATCGAAAGAAAAACCTTTGGGTATTCCTTGGGTTGACCCATCAGACCTCTGGAAATATACCAAGCCATTAGGTCACTAAAATTGACTACATAAAGTCAGAGCTCAACCCGTAAAACCTTCGTAATCCTAATATAACTTGATTGAAGTAAACCCATAAATACCTCTAGGAGTTGACCCGTACGACTTCTAAAATTCAATGAAAGAACTCTGACCAGGAAAGCCTGAACGGACTCCGAAGGTGAACTATATGGTTTCAAGAGTAAGAGAAACATATCTCTGACCTTGTGGTTTCTTATGATGATTTTCAAAGCCTCTATTTTCAATCCATGGGTCCTCTAAAAATCATTCTAGAAAAATCTGGAAGTGACTCATAAGACCTCTGCCGTTGACTTGTAAGACCCGTAGATATAGGCCATAATGTATCTGAATTGAAGCATCAACCCCTCTGAAGTTAACCTAAAACATATATTTTTTTAGTCCAGAATTGAGACCTTCTGGATTAACAAAAGATATGATTAATATGACCAAAAGATTTAACCAACCCGTCAGACATTCAATGTAAACCCATAAGTCATCCGAGTTGATCCATAAAATCTCTGAAGTTGACTTGTAAGGTCTCTAAAACGAAACACTAATACCTCTGAGCGTAATGGAGCTGTCCAAAAAAATTGATTCATGAAGACTCTAAAATTGACACACAAGTCACAGTGATTATCCCGTATCATTCCACCTTCGAAAACCGGAGCCAGTAGATTAAAGTTAACCTATAGGTGATAAGTTCATCGATCTTAGCTAAAGACCCCCAACATTGAATAATAACGTCGCTGGGCTTAACCCGTTTAGGGCTGTCCATAAACTACGTAGACAGTTTTGCTAAGACTTTTGATCCCTCCTGTCCCCCTGCGTAGTTGTCAGTTGCCCATAAAGAATTTCGAAATTTTATATGGACCGTAGACAAGCGCCTTAGACAACCACTTAGACCATTGGAGTCGATTGGAATTGGCAAAAGAAGGTATCCAGATTTGGAGGTTGACGCGTAGTTCATCCCATATATCCAAACTTCAAGGACTTAGCGAGATGACTACAAAAGGCTTATGAATGAGCTTCAACTTCATTTAGAACTACAGATATTTCTAGGGGTGTTTTGGATTAAGTTAAAAGATCTGATATGCTAATTACGAAGGTCTTATGAGCTGAGCTCCGGCTCTGTGGGTCAAATAACGATGTCTTCGGAGCCGATTTTAGCGACCTTATCATTTAATTGTAGACGTAACTTGGCTTGAATTGAATACAGAGGTCTTATGGGTTGACTTCAGAGAGCTCCAAGACCTTTGGAAGGAATTGATCCAAGCCATGAGACGTCTACAATTGAACAATAAGGTCGCTAAAATCGAATTCCTGACCGGTAACGCTCAACGCATCTGCAGTTGGGCCTTAAGGTTTCTGAAATTGACTGATACTCATCATGGTAAGACCTCTACAGTTAACTCAGACTCAGGATAGTGATCGTTTGATTTCGATTGAAGTGTTTTGGAGTTGAAATAAAGATTTTCAACTTATTCCATAAGACGTCCGAAGTTGACATAAAAATCAGTTCAAAAAACCTACGGAGTTGTGCCATAAGATCTCTGACACTGGACTTATATAACTAATATAGACTTTCACACAAAAGATCACTGAAGTTGATCCAAGTCAAGATGCATCTGCAGACAGCTAAACTTAGCCCGTAAAGCCTGAGCTCAACGAGTAAGTAACTTTTGATGAGGGTTAAAAAAAAAAATCCTTGAGAGAGTTTCTGAAGAAACGGGATTTCTGGTTGCTTTTCGTGCCAATTCAGAGAGGAATGTCATGGGAATTGTTGAGGATTGTTTCAAAGAGAATTCTTAATTGAGTTACAAGAAAAATTCCAGGAGATTTCTAATGAAATTCAGTTGAGGATTTAAAAAAAAATATGAAAGCATGTCAAGGATATTCTGAGGAGCATAAAAATGGAATTTGAAAAACAATTTAAAGGGAATTCTCTGGAGAATTTCGTTGAAAATTTCAATGAAATTCTTAGAATACAATAAAGACAATTTCGAAAACAATTCAGAGGAGAGTTCTATGGGAATTAAGGAAGATAAGTTCGGGGTCATCCTTTAAAAACTTGCAAATGTTTTTACCCTTCTTACAAAGAAGGGTATAGATATCACTTGAAAAACCGACTATCGATCCGAGGCCCGGAGGGCCGAGTGTCATATACCATTCAACTCAGCTCGACGAGATCGGAACATGTCTGTGTGTGTGTACGTGTGTATGTGTGTATGTGTGTGTGTATGTAACGAAATGAATGCGCTCACGTTTCTCAGCAACCGCTCGACCGATTTGGACAAACTCGGCGCCAAATTATAGGTCTTGGGGTCCCATTGAACGCTATTGAACGGTTTGGAATCGGTGAACCGGTTCCGGAGATATGGCCGGAATAAGATCCGGTGAATATGGGCCTTCACGCTGGATTTAACGGAAAACGTATCAAAACCATCATGCGACACATCAAATTACTACAGAATTCAAAAATAAGATCAATGCAAGTCGTGTTAAGTGTTCCAGACCACATTGGACACACTTGGACATGTTTCGGGTACCCCGGGGAAGTTGCTTGAATATGAATTGAATTAAAACCCATTAAATCACATTAAAATACGATGATAAGGTGATTGGTAGCCTCACCAAATAGACTACACACGGATATATTCCGGGTACCCCCAGGCAGTGGCGTAGCGTCACTGGATGGCACGGGGGTGGGGGGCTTGGTCACTGATAATGACAATAAAATAAATAAACTTGAATAAGTAAGAAGGGTCTGATCACACCATAGGTGGATAAATTCGGGTTTTTACTCATATCTCTGCCATTTTACGACCAATTCAATTCGTAGGTAATTGGTTTAATATATTTTACAGTTGTTGTATACTAAAACTTCTCTTAGAGTTACAACATTTTCCAATATTCCCACCAAATATTCATGACTGATTTTCTCAGAATTGGGTCGTTCAAATTTTGAAATGAAAGTGGTAGCAAACTTATGATCGGAAGTGTCGTTTCAAAGACATCGATAAGATATTTCGTGGAAAACTCGAAGAAAGTTCTAAGAAAAACTGGGTGAATTTCCAAAGGGAATTCAGAGAGGAATTTCGTGAGAATTTTGAGAATAGTTTCAAAGAAATTCTCAAGAGTATGTCAAGGGGATTTGAGAGAATTTTAGGAATTTTCAACGTTGGAGGAATTCTGAGAAGCATTCAAAGAAAATTCGGAAGATAAATCAATTAAAACTCTCGGAGAAGAATGTCAAGGGAATACCTGGAAGAATTTCAAGAGAATCCTGAGGAGTATTCAAGGACAATTTGGAAGACAATTCAAGAGGAATTTTCAGGAGAATCGGATATAATTTTTTGGAGGATTTCAAGGGAATTCTGAGAAGTTTTTAAAGGAAATTTGCAAGACCTTTCAACGAACATTCGGAGAAGAGTTCCATGGGAATTATAGAAGATAATTCCAAAGACATCGATAAGAGAAATTCAAGTTCATTTAGAGAAAAACTCGAAGAAAGTTCTAAGGTAAACTTTATGGAAATACTGATACAAAGTCAGATGAGAATTCTGAGAGGAATTTCATGGGAATTATTGAGCATGGTTTCAAAGGAATTCTCAAGAGAATGTCAAGGGAATTTCATGGAAAATACTAAGGGAATACATGATAGAATTTGAAGAATTTCCAACTTGATGGGAATTCTGAAAAGCATTCAAAAAGAATTTTAAGGGAATACCTGGAAACATTTTATGAGAATGCTGAGGAGTATTCAAAGATAATATGGAAGACAGTTCAAATGGAGAATACCATGAACATTTTTTTTTATTTTATGGGAATTCTGAGAAGCATTTAAATGGAATTTGAAAGACCATTCACTGAACATTCGGAGAAGGGTTCCATAGGAATTATAGAAGATAATTCTGAATACATCGATAAAAGAAATTCAAGTGAATTTCGAAAAAAAACTCGAAGAAAGTTCTAAGGAAAAGTTTATAGAATTTCATAAAATATTCCAAGGAGCGTTCCATGGAAAGTTTAGAAGATAGATCCAAAGACATCGATAAGAGAAATTCAAATGGATTTCGAGGAAAACTCGAGGAAATTTCTAAGCTACACTTTTCGAAATTTCTGACAGAATTCCGAATGGAATACATAGAGGAATTTTATGGGAATTATTGAGGATAGTTTCAAAGGAATTCTCAAGAGAATGTTATGGGAATTTCATGGAGAATGCTAAGGGAGTTTATGAGAGAATTTTAAGAATTTTCAACGTTAAGGGAATCCTCAAAGAGAACTTGGAAGATAATTCGACAATAACAAACGGAGGAGAATTGCAAGAGAATGCAAAGGAGTATTCAAAAATAATTTGGAAGACGATGCAAAGGGAACTTTGAGGAATTCAAGGGCGTTCTGAGAAGCATTTAAAGAGAATTTGAAAGACCATTCAAAGAACATTCGGAGAAGGGTTCCATGGCAAGTATAGAAGACAGTTCCAAAGATATCGATAAGAGAAATTCAAGTGAATTGCGAAGAAAACTCGAAGAAAGTTCTAAGGAAAATATTATAAAAAAAAAATCAGATGAAAATTCACAGAGGAATTTCATGGGAATTATTAAGGATAGTTTGAATGCTAAGGGAACATAGGCGAAAACTTAAAGAATCTAGAACTTTAAGGAAATTCTGAGGAAAATTTGGACGATTTGAAAGACAATTCTTAGGAGAATTTCAAAGAAATTTCTGAATGGATTTCAATGGAATTTTGAGAACCATTTTAAATAAATTTTGAAGACTATTCATAGAATATTCGAATGAGAGTTCTATGGAAATTTTAGAAGATAGTTCCAAAGACATTGATAAAATGAATTCAAGTGGATATCGAGGAAAACTCGAGGAATTTCTGAGAGAATTACGAATGGAATTCAAAGAAGAATTTCATGGGAATCATTGAGGATAGTTTCAGAAGAATTTTAAAGAGAATGCTAATGAAATGCAGAAGAGAGTTTTAATAATTAGTATAATGATAAGCATTCAAAGAGAATTTTGCAGATAATTCAAAAGAAAATCGGAGAAGAATTTCAAGGGAATATCTGGAATAATTTCAAGAGAATGCTGAGGAGTATTCAATGACAGTTTTGAAGACAATTCGGAGGAGAATTCTATGGGAACTAATGAAGATAATTCAGCATTGAATACTCAGGATAGTTTGAAATAAATTCTAAGGAGGATTCCGTGAAGATTTTTAGGAGAGTTTCAAAGGAATTCCAAAGCGAATTCCTATGTAATTCGAAAAGAGTTTCTGGTTTGTTTAAACAAGAATTCTGAGCAGAGAATTTTCAAATTCTCGTTTATTTCCCAGTTTTCTCGGTTCGCTGGACACCCTGCTAGGTAAAACAATCAATATTTTCAACATGAAGTGAATTTAAAAATTCTGTAAAATAAAATGTTTTTTAAATTTTGGATTTCCTAAAGTTCCTACGATTCCTATACTTCGAAAATTTTAAAAATCTTAATCTCAAACATAAATAATTAGAACATTAAAATTTGTAGAAATCTCAAACATGTTCAATATTCCAAACCAAGGGTAGCCACTACAGAGAAATGAAATTCAAGTAAGTCAACATAAATTTAACCTGAAACTTATGAAAAATTTTAAATCACAGAGTTGAATAAATCTTTAAGACTTAGAGACTATTACGTACATGCAAGAGCCCAAATTAAGTGCAACAATTAAACTATCTATAATCACATCTCAGTCCCATCTTCGCTTGATTATCTATTCAAATGAGACAGTTATGCGTTTATGGGCAGTACCGTAACAGAAGATGCAAACATTTATCCCATATGAGCAGTTCCAAACTGAAAAGACTAATCGGAAAAACTCGACGTTCTCCGATTCACATCAAACTTTGCATAATTGTTTGTTATGGGCAATGATTCACATGTTTACTGAAATAGGCTATTTTGGATCTTGTAAAGTTTAAAAAATGGCATCCTTGAAATTTTTCAAGAAATAGTAGCACAGAAACTTTACTTTGAATATAAAGGTTCTATAAGCTGCCCAATCTTTCTAAACTTGTTTTTTTAACTGACTGCATCTGTGTTCAATAAACATGTTTCAGGTTGCATTTCCATTATTTCTTAATCGTTCTGGCCTAAAATTCATATTGCTGAAGAAGAAAGACTATATTGGTCACATTGTTCTAGAGACCACGCCCGGCCCGCGGGCAGGCATGATCATGCTTCCAGAAACCTTCAGATGCCTTGCAGGCTGAATCTGCCTTATGAGTCAATTTCAGAATTCTAAAAGGTCAACCCCAAACATTTTGTTCGTTCATTGTAGAGACTTTATATTAAATTGAAATGGCTTATGGGTTAAGTAGAGAGGTTCAACCGGTTAATTTTAGAGCATGTTGGTAAACTTCAGAGACCTTATTTGTCAACTCCGGTGGTTTGGTGATTGCAAAGGCGTTATGGCTCAGCAAAAAAAAAGGGTTTCCAGGTTACCTCACTGAGGCAACGGAACGAAAAGCACTTATAAATTTTCGACAAAAGGATTTCTTATGTAAATCATAAGTTTGGATTATGAAACAGGATTCAAAAGCTAGCTTACGAAACTTAAAAAAACTTAAATTATTGACTCCGTGATTTGCTCTCACGTCTATCCACGCTTAGGAAATTAAACAGGTCAGAGGTGTAAAAGAACCACTTGTATTACTTGTAGTACAATAATCATGCATAAGTCGTGCTTATGGAATTCCTAACTCATGCCTATGTAATTCATAAGTGTCTTATAATATCAAAATGGTCCAGGTTCATAAGTCATGTCTTATGGAATTCTTAAGTCTTTTTAGTCTCAGTGCTTCTAATCCGGGTCTGTTTATTATAACAAAAGATCTCAAGCCTGTAAAACAACTTCACTGAAATTGACCCACAATGTTTTGAAATTTAGAGGAGCTGAACCTTAATACTTCATAATTGAACCTACCTTGGAATCAACCAGTAAAGCCTTTGAAGTTAACCCACAAGTCTAAAAACCTCTGGAATTAACCAATCTGGGCTTCTGGACTAGATCCTACAAAGTGGATCCATAACGCTTCCACTTGTTGGCCATTGGAGCTTTTGGAATAAAGAATGATAAATCTAGCGATCGTAACTAACTTTTCCTAAAATATAAAAACACCAGGCTTCAATTGACTGGTTCTCCATCGAATACTTCCTTCTAGCACTCGTGCTAAGCGAAAAGCCCACTTTATGTAGTGTCTCGTATGATCTGCCGTTCCCTCTTAACGCACTCACGACCTTTGAAGTCAACTCAAGAACAACCACACAGTCCTGCTAACTTTTCATGTTTTCTTTTTCCCCACACTCTGACAGCTTCATAATCTTCTCCCTGCTGATACCGTACGTCCACCGGGAAGGTTCCCTTGGTCATCAGGCACGGGACGCCCTGCTCCTGTGCATGGCCCTGTCCCAGAAGAACTCCAACGTGGGAACGTACATCGCTACATACTCATCGATCTGCCCCGTGCTGGTCACCGGTTTGGGTGGATTGTACTCGCGCTTGCCAAATCAGATCGACATCAAAACCATCGATTGGTACCGGATAACAACGGACGACGTGACGGAACTGCAGGAGTTGACGCTGTTTATGAATTCGTTGGAATTTTGCAACGCTGTGGTGCAGGTGGCGCACAGCATGATCCGGCAGCAGTTGCTGGACTTTCTGTACCAAGGTTTTTTGGTACCAGTGCTGGGACCGGCCGTTCTACAGGTAGGTCACTGCTATGGTGTCTTATGCTATGGAATTAGTTGTAAAAAATCTGTATCTGTGGGTACTCCACATCCACGCACTTTCCCATAACTCACACATTTCCTGTCGTATTCTACATAGAGTAACAGTCCTCTAGATTCGCTGGAAGATTGACGGTGTTGGTTTATCACCCGAATCAGTCGAACACTGATCCACCAATAGACGTTGTGGTAATGGTTCATCATTCTCTATTCATGAAGGTCACCCATTTTTTCGAGCTCAGAAAAGTCAGAACTCCGGAACTCGGTGACGGTCAGTAGCGTAAAACATCTCTCATCTTCTCTACTTCTTCCTACGGTGTTGTTATCGCTCGTTGAGTAGACATCAGAGTAACACGTTCTCAGGGATTCATTGGTAAACAGGGTCAACCGTGTCGATCGATAATCCAAGCCTGCAACGACTAATCTTGTATTTTAAATTTTTCTCTTCCCTCTCCCTTCGAATCCTATCCTGTTCCTACTGCAAACAAATTAAAACAATCAAATTGTATACAAATACACGTCTATCCTCCCTCCCCCTTAACACTGTCCCCTTCCATATGTTTAAACAACCAAACAAACCTTACCCACCTTCGCGAAACGTTCCGCGGTGAACAGACATTTAAAGGTCGAGGTCAATTCCAGACAAACGTCGAGTCGCAAGTTTCGGCGATGGCCTATCTGGATCTGATCGTGCGCTCGGTCACCGAACCGGGGCTGATTCAGATCATCGTCAAGTTTCTACTGGACGAGGACAAGTTCGACGGCCAGCGGATATTGGACGTCCTGGTGGAGCGGCTCAACAGCAACGATTCAAGGGTACGGCGGCCCAAAATTGAATATAGCATCATTGCGATCTAATGTAAATTTTATCCCTTCAGCTATGTATGATTTCGCTTTCCCTGTTCGACACGCTGTTGAGTCTCAACTGCGAGGACATCATGCTGGAACTGATCATGAAGTATCTGCTCACCTGTCAGCACGTGCCCATCTCGCATCGATTCAAGGTGAACCGCGTGGATCCTTACAGCAATGCCGTTGAGTACTTTCTCAACACTTCTCCGGATATTATGAAGAAGGTCAACAACGTCCTAAGCATCAACAACAACAATCCGAGCATTGGCGGAAGTGCGTCCCAGGTTGGCGGTGGGCGGAACGTCAGCAAAACGATTGGTGCCAACTGGAACCACTACGGGTTGAATACGGGTGAAACGCTCCTGGCCAACTACCAGGCATACCTGTTGGAGGCCCGTAGCCGGATCGTCCAATGCAAGCATGCCTGTGATCAGTGGAACAATGTGTATCGTTACCAAAAATTGAACAAGCTGGTGAACAACAATAGTAATAGTCTAAGCCCTAACGGTAATGGAACGGCTAGTGAAGACGTTCGAACGTATAAAGTACAAATGATCAAAAACTTCCTGTCGGAGTTTACTACCGCACCGGATAGTGCGGTGGACATGACGGGGGATGGTGACCGTTCGAGTCAGTGTCAATCTCCGGCCGGCATGTTCGGCACCGGGGTAGGAGGAGGTCAACAGCTGACGGCAACATCCAAGCAACTAGACAGTTTGCAATCGCTGGGCGATAGCAGTGGGTACGAGAGTTTGAACATCACAAATCTGGGAACGGGCAGCGAAGACGGTCGGCGGCATGAATCGTGGAAGGTGTCCAGCGTGAAGGAGGAAACCATCGTGGATCTGGATCTGTCGGAGGACCTGTTCGCGCAAGGGACTGTTAGTTTGGGTAAGTTGAAGCTTTGTGTGTTTGTCATCGATCATTTCGCTAACATTCTCGATTTGATTGCAGGTCCCTTCCTAACGGCCATATGGGGCAAGCTGCAAACGTTTACCAGCAATTGCTTGTACGTCAATCTACACCTCACCGGACTGATTAGCCATCTGGCGTGGTTTCCTCTGCCGTTGCTGCACTCCATTCTGCTGCGGCCGGACATACCGACCACGTCCGACACGCCGTCGTTTCATCAGGTAATAATCAGCTTGGCATAGTCGTAGACGTGTTCAAATAGGGGGCTGTGAGACGTTTTTCCGGAATCATGGGTTCAAAGCTTAAGTCTTCTGATGCAGAGGCCTGATGTAATACTTAAGGACTTTCATAACCAGAACAACCCAGAGGACTTTCGGAGCACGTTGAAAAATTCCAGGGGCTTCCTAGGAAGATTGAAAGACTTTCAGAGATAGTTTGGAGAAACTCCTGAGTAAGGTTAGAGAACTTCTAGAGCATGCTTTGAGGACTTCAAAGGCTAATCAAAAAATAGCTCGAGATAAGTTCAAAGGACTGAATGCTGGAATTTTTATTGGGCTTATAAATCTTGTGGGTAATGAAACTGTTTATGTTTTCATTGCCCGACATTTCGGCCCTTATTTATTTGGCCGTGGCAGTACAACTAAAGGAAAAACGGTAGACTTTTTTCCCCTGTAAATAGGTCAAATAAATAATGACCGAAACGTCGGGCACTGAAAAAAAAACAAACCGTTTCAATTCCCATTAAACATTCCAGCACAACAATACTAGTCGAATAAGCAATCAACTTTTATGGAGTACTCAAGAAAGACAAATCGCTGTAACATCCCTATTCTCGGAACCACTTCGAAACTTTAAGTGCACAAATATCAGCTTCTACGACACGTGCGACATTCAGATTGTTACTTCACGTTTGCTGCACTGCAGCATATAAGAAGTAGCACTTTCAGGTGAAATGGGGCACCGATTTCCGAGATTTGTAATTGAAAATTCGAAGTGGAAGTGCATGTATAGCCTAAGTGGCGGCCATTTGTGGACTCTACAAGGAATCACCTTAAGATAGGTCTGTAGAACTTTCAGAAGCATGTTCTAAAAAATTTACGTGTAAGTCCAAAGAACATTCACAGTGCAAGTCACACGAGCTTCTAGGCTCGAGGACATGTTTCGAGTAATTCTAGTTCAACTCTATTATGTGCATAGTTGGAGATGCTTAACGTCAAATATCAGACTTAAGGGGAAGCAGACCGCTCCGAAAAAAAAATTACGTTTTGATTTTTCTAAAAATATTGAAAAAAAAGTATCAAAAATCTAAAATAATCACATTTTTTCTAATTTTTTAAAGAAAATTCACGTGCAAAAACATGTTTTATAAGTCATTATGGCATAAAGTTGGACTCAAAAAACCACAAAACATCAACTTTTCGGTTTTTCTGAGAGTCCAATTTTTTTTCATGATGGGATAGAAAAATTTTTTTGCATGTAATTTTTGACAAAAATCTAAGGAAGAAACTGATTTTCTTGGATTTTTGATAATTTTTCCCAATATTTTTAGAAACATAAAAACGTACCGAAAATATTTTTTTTATTTTTGGGCCGGTGAGCTTCCCCTTAAAGTGGTCATTTTAAACGATGAGGAGATGAAAGTATAGAGTTGATAGTTCCGTTAAAGTACGGCAGTGTGAAAATTGTATACAGAGAGTAGAAAGCGAGCAAAGGTCAATTTTGAGGAAGGTACTAATCAGGGTTGATCAACTCCTTTACCAAACCCCCCGCCACCAATGGCAAAAGAGATGTTCGCCGCTTTGCTCACGTACCTTCGATGTGCGGAAATAGTTCTATCGATTGTTTCACACTCAAGCCGTCAACGGGAGAGTTTGGTAAAGAAGATGATCAACCTTCCTCAAAATTGACCTTTGCTCGCCTTCTACTCTCTATATACAATTTTCACACTGCCGTACTCTAACGGAACTATCAACGCTATACTTACATCTTACATTGAAGTTACCCAGAAACCTCCTCAAAAATTTTATAAAATTTTACAAACATTTTACAAAGCAAGACCATGCTGGAGGTGGCTGGGTTTGATTCCCGGTCCGGTCTAGTAATTTTTCGAGTTGGAAAATTTCTCGACTACCCTGGGTATAGAGTATGATTGTACTTGCCACACAATTATACAAACGCAAAAATGGTACAGGCATCGAAAGCTCTCAATTGATAACTGTGGAAGTGCATCTAGAACACTAAGTTAAGAGCACGCAATAAGCTTAAATGCGATAAGCATTAAGCTTGAAATTAGAAGAAGAAGAAAAAGAAGAAGAAGAAGAAGAAGACGTCGGCGGACATGGACTATTTTCCAAAAACCCAAAAACCCAGATAAAAAAATAAGGGCATTGCAAAAGTTCTACAGCGTATAAACTTAAATAATTTAAATTAATAAAATAAATCTGGAAACTCTAGGGATAATTTCAAAGGAATTCAAACGAGAATTTCAAAAGAAGAATTGTTAGGAAAACTTGAAGTGAACTCTGAGGATTCCTTTTGAGTTAGTTCCGTTGAACTCCAATTTCCAAGTTTTTTTTTTTAAGCTTTATTAAAGAGATTTTTAGCCTTAGGCACCAATTTCCAAGTGAAAAGTAAGGAGAATTATAAGGTAATTCTGAGTAGAATCCCAAGAGAATCGTGAGTAGTATTGAAAGGAAATTTTCAGCTGAATTCTTAGGAGGATTCCAAGGTAATTTCGCAGAGAATTGCAAGAGAGTTTGGACTAAAATTGTAAAGTAATTTTGAACAGAATTCTAAGGGATGGAGATTCCAAAATAATTAGCTATGTCGGTGGTGTAGTGGTAAGCATGATTGCCTCTCACCCCAGTGGGCCTGGGTTCAATCCCTGTCGGCGCCGCCGGGATTTTCTGAGGCATAAAATCTTTGATCACGCCTCGGATGGGAAGTAAAGCCGTTGGTCACCTGCCATGAGTTGATGGGTCGATATGTAGTGTCCAGGAGTGGACGGAAAACAAAATCAACGGGTAACAAATCAAGGAAAAATAATATTCAATAAAAATTCAGTTCATTGAGGCTAGTTTCGAACGAATTATATGGAATATTCCAAAGTTTCAAGGAAATTTCCAACCAAGTTTTCAGTTAAATTTCAAAAGAATACCTAGAAAACGCAAAGATGTGTATCTAGGGAATTCTGAAGAGCATTTGAGGAATTTACGGGACTACTTCAAGGGAATTTTGAATGAAATTTAGAAGGAATTCCAGAGATAATTCCATGGGAATTTCAGGAGAATAATTAGTGATTACTGGGGAGAGTTTGCTTTAGGGGATTATTTTTGGGGAATTCTTATATAATACAGCTAACCCATTTAAGAGAATTGCAAAGTTAATCAAAGAGCCTTCTATAAATAATTTCTAGAGTATTATCAACCGGTAGAAACTAACGATTTTAAATTGGCCTATTGGTCCCAAGCTAATCGACTAACGTGTCCCATTCTAGATGAAATTCTAGTACTTCACTATGTTTGTTTTGATTCGCTATGAAAGTTTGACAGATAAAATGAGGGGTTCGTGGATTTTCCTATGTTTTGAGGAGTGCGTCGATTAGCTTGGGACCGAAAAGAGTACCAGAGCTGAGCCAAAAAGTTCAGCACGTTTCTTCGGGACCTTCTGGTCTTAGAGTTACCTCTATGGTATTATGGAGTAAATTTTAAGGCAATTCAAGAGAGAGAGAGAGCTCTAAGACGAACTCTGAGAAAACTTTGAGATGACTCAAAGGAAATTCTTGAGATGATTCTAATGAAATTTTTTGAAGAGTTCAAAGGGCATCAAGATGATTCAAACATAGAATTTTTTTTTGTGATCTCGAAGAAAAAGAAAAGAAAAGAAGATAAATTTAGACATAATTCTGAGACTTCAACATAGAAAAGTTCTCTTGATTCTGGATCAAGAAAAATCTTCTTGATTAGGGGAGTTTTTCTTGTGAAGTAATGAAATTGGGTTGATAGTAGAATGCTTTAAATAAAACAGCAAAAAAGGGTTATCTTCCATTTAATTCCACTTAAATAATTTTGGTATCCATGACAGATACGTATTTCGACTACAATGTGCAGTCTTCATCAGTGTCAGAGTTTTTCTTGACATTCACGGTTTATAAAATTTAAGTCCTTTTACCAATATTCCGAGCACGGAGGAATATTCTAGATTCTCCACCATGATAAGCTTTCAAGATTTAAAACTAATAGAAATATTCGAAATGCCAGACTTTAAGGGGGGGTACCTGTTGAGATCTAGGACGGGACTTGACAATCGGGTAGCGATTTCGAACCAATTTGCTGTCAAATCCGAGCCAGCTTCTGATTGATCGATTTGACAGTAGCAATCGTGAAATAAAAAGGATAGACGGATCGCATCAATCTGGCTGGCAGAGATGCCGGAATCAATGTTGATGTCAATGGCGTGGTCAATTGTTTATATTTGCGAAAGGAAAGTTGAACATTGCGTGTTTTAAGCGATGGATATTGTTGTTTGTTTATGGTTGTTTTTATTGTGTGGAGCAAAAATTATGTACAAGCTGCTAAACTGCGGTAGAAATTCCGAATAAAATCCAAATTAAATAGAAAAAAATATTTTACATTCCTGGCATCGTTGGTCAACTCCATCAAACACCACGCACAACTTTCCGAAGGGTATTCTTCAAAAACATTAAGAAGAGTGAGAAACTCGATTGTCAAGAACCGTCCCGGGTTGAGATCTCTAAAGAAAGGGGTACTTTTCAGTAGCACTGAAACATCTGAGAAAAGTGATAATTAGTGTTTTGAGTTCTTCATTAAAATATCTAAAATCTAACAGTTGGAATATTCGAAAAATCTTATGTTAGATTTTAGATAATTATTTTTGGACAGAAGAATCTGCAAATTTGATGGAATAGTCTCCGAGATCTCTGTCTCGCATTGTAAAAAATGTGGTTTCGAGATAAACGCGTTTAAAGATTTTAGTTATATTTAACACAAGACTAACAGCGACTTACATTCATCATCGGCATTTTGACACAACATTCTAGAAAGTATAAGGATGCCGAAAATGAAAAAAAAAACAAATTCGGTGTCCCCATTCCTTAAGAGGCCTTTCACTACAATATTTATTGGCTTTTTTAAGCACAAACCTTTCAAAGTCTTCCAGAGGTCATCGAGAGCATGAAACTTCCAGGTCAAGTTGAGAAAGC